CTGTTTGTCTTTTTCCTGCTTGGTGCTTCTCCTAGTCAGATGGTGGACCCTGCCCAACACCAAGCCTTGCTTGTATCAGTCTCAGGTCTTTAGAAGCCAAAGTGTGGCAACCTCTCTGAAAGCATTTTGACAGAGAGCCCAGGGATGCTGGAAACATACATGAACTTTGATTGGTTAATTTCACACCTAAGGAGCTCCAGAAAATACTGTAACATATTCCAACATATGGATTTAAATATATTTTACATTAGCTACAAAAGAAAAAAAAAATGAAATCAACCCAAAGTCCAAAGTAAGGAAGCAGTTGCACAGATTTAAAGACTTCTGAATGATGTATTAAAATGGCATTATTAAAATTTTTTTCTTTTCTGTCATTTTGGCCTGAGGTCTTGGTTTTTTGGCTTTGTTGTTGTTTCTTTGGTGGTGTTGAGGATCAAACAAACACAGGACTTCACACATGCTAGGCAAGTAGTCCACCTAGCCACAACCCCAGATCATGAAATTTTCAATAATATACAAATTTTTTTCATAATATAAAGTCAAGGTTTAAAATATTCATGGAACTTAGAAGTTCATAAATAATATGTTATCAACTTTCAAGTTAAAATAAATACACAAAAATAACTAGCACGATGGCACGTAACTGTAACCTCAGCACTTGGGAGGCTGAGACAGGGGTATCGTCATAAGTTCAAGACCAACCTATACTACATAGCAAGACACTGTCTCATAAAAGACAGATATAGATACATAATAGATAGAAGATAGATAGACAGATAGAATATCAAAAGTATATTTAACAGTGCTGCAAAGGTCAATACAAAAATAAGGAAAGATGCTTAAATTTCCCTGGTGAAAGTGAGGTAGGAGACTTCCGTCCTCTCTGTTTCAGAATGTCTTTCCCTGTCCTTTTCGCTGTGTTCCCAGAAGTCAATGTCACTGCCCCAGTGGCCACTCACTCTGCAGAGTCAGGCAAGTGGTGCTGGGAGAAAGAAGAGCTATTTTTATTTTATTTATTTATTTATTTTTGGTTTTTTGAGACAGGGTCTCACTATGTAGTTGAGATTGACCTGGAAGTCACTATGTAGCGCAGGCTGGTCTCAAACTCACAGCAATCCTCCTGCCTCAGCCTCCTGAGTGCTGGGATTACAGGTGTGCGCCACCACGCCCAGCTTTTGAGAAGAGCTGTTTTTAAAAACCGGTTCTACTTAGATTTCACATTAACCTGGTTAGAGGTAAATATGGAATTTTAAGTCTAGTCCCAGTTTCTACTTACATGCGCACGCAATGTTAGAATTCCTTAAATGAACCAATTTCCTTTTTGTCTGTTTATATCAAATGCTACATACAGGCACAATCCATCTCTACAAGAAGAGACAGTGCAATACAGTCAAGAAGACTAATTGTAAATGACAAGGCAAGAAAAGATCTCTTTTGTTAGCACAGAAGAGGCAAAAAGAACCTTTTGCAAAACAAGCTCTTTGGCAATGGGGTGACTTATACTATTTCCTGTGTAGTAATGTATCACCTCAAACACTGGGCCCTGACCTGTCTTTAGAAGCAGTGGACTTTTGGTGGTTTGGTTTGGTTTTATTGAGACAGGGTCTCACTATGGAGTTCAGGCTGGCCTTGAATTCACTATGTAGCCTAGGATGTCCTCAAACTCATGATGATCCTCCTGCCTCAGCCTCCCAAGTTCTGGGACTATGGGCGTGCAGTCACAAACATCCAGGCCAGAATGGCACACCAATAGTGCCACCTTATAAAAGGTCTCCAAAAGATTCTCAGACCTGGAAAAGAATTCCCCAGTCCATATGATGACTATGTAAATCTTTGCAACAACGACATAAGCCCTTCACCAGCCTGACATCTCAGGAAGAATTCTTCAAGGACCTGTCAAACATCAAGGAGGAAAGCCTCTGCCTTCCAATTCCTGTGGAAAAGTAGAACCTCATGTCCAAGGCACCGTGACTCTAGAAGCCATGGCAAGGCACGAGCCTTCCTCCTAGCAGTCTCACCACTGTAATCTCTCTCTTTTTTTTTTTTTTTTTTTTTTTTTTGAGACAGGGTCTCACTACGTAGGTGAGACTGACCTGGAACTCACTATGTAGTGTCAGCTGGTCTCGAACTCACAGCGATCCTCCTGCCTTAGCCTCCTGAGTGCTGGAATTACAGGCATGCGCCACCACGCCCAGCAACCACTGTAATCTCTTAATGGATTACATTCTGCATTGATGCTTATTTAATAATAAAATGGTTTCCTTCCTCTGGCACCTTTTTGGAGAGATTTTCAGAGTTGAGAAGATTGGGGCTTTTTAAATCATTTTTTCCCCACGATGGCAGTCCACTGTGGACACTGCAGTTGCGTGGCAGAAAAGGAGCGGTCTTTCTTTTGGAGGTGTACCAGCTGCTGCACTTCGCCTTTCATACCAGAGAGTGGAGGGTGCTGTGCCCTTGGCCTTGGCTGTGTCTTGGCTAAACACCTTCGGCCTCTCTTTACATCTTCTGCCAAATAGGGCTCTTTCACCCTTTCAATATTTTGACTGTGCCATGGCTCTAAATCACTAGAGGTGCCTCTAGAGTTTTTGTCCATTCCCTCTGTCCCTTCTGTACCAGGAGGCAAACCACTTTTCACGTTTCTGAAGTTAAGACGCAAATCAATTCTCACTTTCTCCCATGTCTCCAGGCTTCTCTCAAGGTCATAGTGTGGTGAGTTTCCAGCTGTGATCCTATCCCAGCCTGGTGGGGGAAAGAGTCTAGCAAGAGTCTAACCAGCTCCTCCACACAACGGATGGAAAGGGCGCCACTGTTACCTTCTCTGTATGCATAGCTCCTGCCCACTCTCAACTGGAGATGACAGAGGGCTGGGGATCACAAGGGGACCCCCGAGTCTGCCTCCTGCACTTGTCTTCTGAGACTAAGTTCTGCAGAGTACATCTCCTACATGCTTTCATCTTTCCCAGCTGTTGTTTTCCTGTACTGCATCTTTCCCTGTCTTTTTTTTTTTTTTTTTCGGTACTGGAGATCGAACTCAGGTCCTTGAGCTTGCAAGGCAGGTGCCAGAATCACTGAGCTAAATCCCTGGCCCCTTCCTGTCTTCTTACCTTGTTCTCTGCCTGTGTGGATCTATTTTCCCAGCTGACCTATGTGAACTCCTTCAGGAGTTTAACCCCCTGGGCCCCTTGGCACAGCCTGACAGGGTTCTTCCCCAAGATCCTTGCTCTCTCAAGTTATCCGAGGGCTGGGGATTTGGCTCAGTGGCACCACACCTGCCTGGGAAGTACAAGGAAGGGGGAGGGATGTGAGGGCAATCTGACTGCAACACCTGTCGCCCCGTTGCCCCATTGATCGCCAGGATGGATTCGTCTGATCTGGCTGGTCAGGCAGGTGTCCCCTTCCTCCCCCACTACTCCAGGTGCCTCTGGCCACAAATGCTCAGTCAAAAAACGACAACCACCCGGCATAGAGGAGGACCTGTTCCTTGGCCCAGGGGTATGGGAGTAGCTGCGCTCCTCTGCTAGAAATCCAAACAAGCTCTCAAGTCATCTGTTGTAGGTGACTCTGCTTTCCTTTCTGAAAGCCTCACCTTCCCTTTGTCCTTCAGTGCTCAAGGTGGCAAGTGCCCATTTTGTGTGGTGGTAACAAGGTGACTACTGTGGGCCTAGGCCCTTTGTACTAGTCTTTAGAGTTGCCCCACCTGCCGGTGCTTGTACACAGCCCCTTATAAATCACCACTGAATTACCCCAAGGGGGCCATCTCTCCTTGCTAGGATCCTATACTAATCCAACTTCTGTGCCTCCCCAAGACAGCTCAGCCCTGGGCCCTGCTTGCATTCTCTCTGTGGCTGCAGCCAGATCTGCATTCACCTTCTTCCCTGCCCTGCTTCTCTTGGTGTCCCTTGATTTGCTCGTTACAATACAGCACAGCCATGCGGGCTTTGCCTCAGCTTCTGTAGGGAAGGAGATAAGCAGGCCCTGATGCCAAAGAAGCTACTCTGTGGGGCACAACCAGAAAGCCCGTCCCTCCCAGGGAAGGGCCCCTCACCTTTCCTTCAGCCAGAGCTCTGGGACCTTCTGGCCTGTGTGTGCCCTTGGTGTTCTGGCCCCTCCCTCACACAGTCTGAGTCCGCCCGGCCTCCTGAACACAGGCTTAGAGTGGGAAGCTCGGGGGAACAGTTTTCTTTGCTTTTTCTCGCCGGAACTGAGGCCAATACCAACGCTGCCAGGCGATTTCCCTTCTGTGTAGGGGCAGGCTCTTTGCTCGTTCACCAAGGGGCTGGGCCTGTGAAGGTGATGGTCTGTGCGGATCCAGGCAGAGCTCCACCAGACCCTGGACACTGGCTGCAGGCACATGACCTGTGAACCAGGCTTGGGGCAGAGCATGGCTTTGGCTCAGTCTCACCTCTCGGGATCTGTACTCTGGTTTCTGAGGATTTCCCTTACCATTTTTTCCCCCGATCGACTATTTATTTAAAAGGGTACCTTAAGGTTGTTATCCAATACCATCGGTTCTCTGTACCAGGACAGGGGCCTTAAGACATTCTTATTGCTTATATTACTGAAAATGCCCCCCTCTCTCCTCCGACCAGTCTTTGAAGTCGAAATCCTGCACCCCAGCTCAGTGCCCTTGTGTATGTCTATAAGAATCTTATGTATCTACTGGAACTGGGTAATCGGGCTCCCAGAGGCTAACTCTCCAGCTGTACAGCGCTGGACAGACTCCAGGGGAGATCATGGTCACTCCTTGTCATGTGCAGAGCACCCAGCCCGCCAGAACTTACTTCTCATGCACAGTTGTGGGGAGGGTTAAACAAACGACTAAAAATCATTTTTCAAACAGCTGTCAATTTCCACGCTCAGGTAACCCACGTAGAGAGCTCTACTCACTATGAGAACAAAACACAGTGTACAGTCAGGGGAGGCCCGGTGATGGGGTGCCTCCTGAGAAACGTGCCACAAAACGACTCTGTCACTGTGGGAACATCATGGAGCGTACTTACACAAAGGGAGCTGGCTGCCACATCAGCAGGAGATACCATCTAAGTGAACCTTTGTTGTACATGCGGTTCGTGACGAAAGGTTGTGCTGCATAGGACTCCACACTCTCTCAAAGGGGAACTCCAGATGAAGTCATTCTTGGAACCCAGCAGGGCCTACTGTTCCTAACAAACGACCCTGTGGGAGTCGAGGCTGGTGGGGGAAGGCTGGTGCGAATCAAGAAAGCGGAGGTTCTCGCAGGTCCTTGGAGGCCCTGTGTGCCGATTTCGGAAGGTCATTCTGACTGTTCCTCCAGCCCAGTTGTCACCAGAGCGGGTATTTTTTTGTGGCCTGGTCTCCCACCGTGCGGGATCTCCAATGCCTGCCTCAGGAAGGCCCCGCTCTGTGAAAAGCTAGCTTCAAGGGCCTCCCAAGATGGCGGCTGCCAGCGTTTCTCTCATCTGGGCCTCCGGTGGTAAACACAGAGAGCACAGGCCCAGGTCTTGGCTGCCTGTCTGACTTCCTAACCTAAAACGTGAACAGGCCCTGTGGACTCTCCCAGGGCACAGAAGAGCCTGCTTGTGGACCTCACGGCCTCCTACATCCCTGTACTACCAAAACCTCTGGCCTTTCCACTTCTGGGTCTTTCAGAGGAATCGCTGCCACCCTCGATACCCAGCAGAACCCTTCTTGCAAGTTGCAATCTCCATTGCCTCTGCTCAGCTGTGAGTACCTGTCCCTTAGTGAGTGCGGTCATCTCTGCCAGCGTCCCACCCAGGCAGGGGCCTGGGGAGGCGGGGCTTCTAGCGCATGCGCATTGGGTATATGAGGCGTGAATTCGGTGCATGAATCTCCTGCTGGAGGCTCCTGTGTGAGACTCGGTGCAAGGACGATTGAAAGAGGCCAGAGCAGATTCTAGCCCCTGAGTCCTGCTGCGGCAGGTCGGGGCGTAAGTGCAGTCGGCTTTCTCAGTACATGCAGGTTAAGGGTGCGGCTCCACCTCCGGGCTGTGTAATTTTGGGAAAGGTCTTCAGCCTTCCTGTCCCTGGTTTACACTTGATTTTAGCCAAAAGGCCGAGAAGCAATGTCTGTCCCTGGTTTTAAAAGGTTTGAAAAACGGGCATGGTGGCGCATGCCTGTAATCCCAGCACTCGGGAGGCTGAGGCAGGAGGATCACTATGAGTTTGGGACCAGCCTGGGCTACATAGTGAGACGCTGTGTCAAAAAACAAACAAACAGATTTGAAAGCCCGGTGTCAGATTCTGACTATTTTTCAATGAAAAGATAAGACGAACTCTATAACAAAATAATAAGAGAACAACAGTAGTTATTACACTGTTCATCATTATCTTTAAAATAGTTACTCAGAGTACAAGACATAGACCAAAAAATTTCTTACAGAAAAGAAACAATGGGTAATAACACATAACTTTCTTTTCAAGAATTAAGATAAACTAGTAGTATAAATGAAACAAATTCACATATGTAGTAAAATATTTGTGAAACGAGAGAAGATGTAATTTAGGGAAGCATTTAAATGTCTCCCCACTTCCTATTTATCTGTTTTCTATTTTGCTCCTTATTTGTGTGTGCGTTTCTCATGTAAGAGAAATCATACACTATTCGAGCTGTGTCTGACCTACTCCCCTTAGAATTATGCTCTCCAGTTGCATCCATTTACCTACAGATGCCTCAAATTTGTCTTTCTTTGTGGCAACATAGTACTCCACTGTGTGTAAATACCACACTGTCCTTCTCCATTCCTCAGCCAATGGACACATGTGCTGTTTCCAAGATCTAGCTCTTATGAACAGTGCTGGTATAGACATGGGTATGCACAGGTCCTTGCGATATGAGGATTGTAACTGTTTTGGGAAGATAACCTAGACGAGAGCTGGATCAAAAGTAATTTCTGTTTTTAGTGTTTTGAGGATTCGCCACACTGGTTTCCTTCATGGCTGGGGTAAACTCTGATTTCACCTCTGCTCTCTCATCTCTAGCAGAGCTGAGAACAGAAACTCAGCTTCCAGGCCGACAGGTAGAAGGTCATATTAGTTCCTGGCACTTTCGGGCACAGGGCTTGACTTCAGTAGATGCTCCATCCCTGGCACCTGTTTTTGTTGCTTCTGAGGGCAACAGGCTGCCCCCACCCACCTCAGCCCAGGCCTGGGTAGCAGTTCACTCGATGAAGCACAAGGGGGAGCCCACGGTTCTTGCCTCTCCCTACCCCTTCCCCAGGTCCCCAGCTGGAGCTGCCTCCCAGGGCGAGGGGAAAGCCTTTCCCAGGGACAGGTGGCATCGCCCAAGTCTACAGGCCTTGGAGGCATCCTCTCCGGCTTAGAAAGTAGCCTCCTCACCAATCTGCTAGTGGAGTGGCCTCCAGTTACCCTTCTAACTGCCTCATCTTCCTCCCCTGAAGTACAGTTGAAAATTAAAACTCCCAGTGCCTGGGGCGCTCTGGAGGCTGTGGTGGGAGTGGCATCTGTGCCTGTGACCGTCACCCTCACTGTCCCCAAGGGTGGCTGTACCATGCAGGAGTCCCCAGGACGGGAAGAACACAGAGCACACGCTTGCCTGTGGCTGCACAGTGACGCCCCACCTGAACATCAGCAACACCCAGGCTGCAAGGACAGATGTGGCCACATCTGGAGCCACTCATCAGGCACAGAAGGGCCCACTCCCCACCCCATTAGCATGTCGTTGCATCTTTACTGATGATGAATCCAGCTCACTTCCCCCCTCTGCCTCCAGAGGAAACCACTATGGCAGCCAGTCAGAGACTTGTCCTTCTTCTCACGAGCATGTGACCCTGCTTCATGCATCCATCCACGGGACCTGGGGCGGTGTCCAGCCTTGCTGCGTGCAGTAAGCTAAATGAATAGTCACCCGACCGTAGCTATAGGAACTTCACCCAGAGGCACTGACCTTAAACTGAGTGTCTTAGTTGCTTTGGTTCCCGTAAAGAATTACCACACTGGGTAATTTTCAAGTAGCAAGCTATTTCTCATGGTCCTGGAGGCCAGAAGCCCAAGGGAAGGTGTCACCAGGTTTGGTTTCTCCTGTCTCCTTGGCCCGTGGGTGGCTCTCTCTCTCTCTCTCTCTCTCTCTCTCTCTCTCTGTCCTTGCACAGCCTTTGTACAACTCACATACCTGGTGTCTCTGTTTTCCTGTCCAGTACAGCTGTATGACCACACAGCCTCCTTAAAAATCCTATCTCTAAATACAGCAAATTGTGGATTAGGCCTCTAGCATGTGACTTTGGCTGAGGGGTAGAATTAAATTCATTCCATAGACTTGGATTTTATTTTATTCTTTTCCTAAGCATAGTAAAAAGGACCTTTAGGAGAGGAGAGGGAGACTGCCTCATACACTGGAATAGAGGTCACTGTGTGGCTGGGCATGGTGGCACACGACTGTAACCCCAGCTAGTCCATAGGCTACAGCAGGAGGATTGAAAGTTCAAGGCCCACCTGGGCAACTTAGCAACACTCTGTCTTCAAAGGAGAAGGTCTAGAGATGTAGCTCAAGGGTAAGGTTCTTGTCTAGAATGTGCAAGGCCTGGATTTAATATCCAGTAGTGGAAATCAGAGGGAGGGGAACGGAAGGTCAGTGTCACTCAGGAGTCCTTGCTAAGGGAGTAGGTTGGCATGGGATGGAGAGGACCCCAGAGAGGGAGGGGAATGCAGAGGAGACAGCTGCACCTCCTCTGGCCGGAGCTGGCTCCTCTGAACCACTTGCAGCTTGTCCTCTCCTGGCATCGCCTCCCAGGAAATGCATCCAAGATACTTAGGAAGAGAATGTCCCTTCCTCTGTGCCTCCTGGACTTTGGTTTCTGTCATTATCCTGTTGGCACTGTGCAAATGTTTTACGTGTGTCATTACTGATTCTCACATCAGTCGTGCCGTGCCTGCCTCAGGACCCTGATTGTAACAAGAAGACTTGGGCTCAGAGAAGCAACTCACTTGCCCAGGGCCACACCCAGCCGGTGGCAGCAGGTCGCCGTCTGAACCAGGCAGGATAGCACCAAGTAATTTCGGCCACCAGCTTGCCACAAAACAGTGACCCAGAGGCTGGCGGTCCCTGCCTACTGCTCCTGCCCCTTTGTCATGCATTTTAACAACCACAGTGGAGTCGTGAAGCCAAAAGCCATCCACTAGGGGGGCTGTGTGGGCTGATCAGCTGCCTGGCCTGATGTGCTGCCCTGGCACCTGGAGAGAGGGCCACAGCTCCTTGGACTGGGTGAGGCAGGTCATTCCTATGTCCTTCTCATAGCTTCCTTTTGCCTAAAGCTCAGCACTGTCTCTTCTTGCAGCCTGGAAGACTGGAAGGCAAACAGACCATGGGTAAGGGCAGAGATATTGCCCTATGCATCTTTGCAAGCAGTCTTGAGCACCAGTAGGGCATGCAATAGGTACCCAACCAACACCTGGTGAGTGGGTGAATTTGGCTGGCGATGTGTGACATATGTACCAAAGTCAAATGCACAGCAGTGGTGGTTACCATTAAATATCATTAATTACTTAAGGGAGCAGGGCTGGGGAGGTTGCTCAGTGGTAGATGGCTTTGCTGGGCACAGTGGCACATATCTGTAGTCCCAGATGCTTGGGAGGCTGAGGCAGGAGGATCCCTTGAATCCAGGAGTTTGATGCCATCTTGAACAACTTAGTGAGACTATATCAAAAACAAAACAAAATGAATAGTAAGGGGGTTGGGGATTTAGCTCAATGGTTCCACTGCCTGCCTCGCAAGTGCAAGGTCCTGAGTTCAATCCCCGGTATATACATATAAAAAAAATAGTAAGGGTACAAATGACAGCTTGTTTTGAAATAAAGGGGGCACTTTTGCTATAGATGTTTTCTGTGGCACTGGGGATTGAACTCAGGGCCTCACACATGCTACTTGCTTTGGTCTGCAACGCACCTTAAGACTCCAGCCTCAGCATATTGAGGTTTAGAAATAATCTGATCCAAACTGGGCTCCCAGGGAAGGATGACGACCCATTTTCATATGTGATCATTTATAGATTTAATTTGCCTTTTAGAAGAACTCATATTAACGCAACACACTTTTTAAAAATACGGCAACATATTGCCTAGTTCACAGCCAATAATTGCACCAGATGGAGATATGCCACAGCCCAGGAGTTATAGCCATGCTGCTGAATGCCTATTTCAACAAATGCTAACTTATTTGTGGAACTCAACACACACTTGAACTATGCATACTGGTTCCAAGGAAACAGACCTTTCATCCACTCTCATGGGTAAAACTGAGCTTACAGTTTACAACACCTTGACAATTGATCTAACAGTGAACACTTAAAAAGTCTAAATGACTTCTTCAAAATATCAAAAGATTTGCCTCCTTGGGCTTCAAGGATATTACAAATTCTGGCCAGTGATAGGGACACAGGAGTTCTGATACTGTTTCTATTTCTTGAGGCCATCCCTCCAGAATATCAGCAAGCAATGCAAAGGCATTTACGTAATTAACTTAACGTGCCTATGTATTTCCAAGAGCTAAATAGAAACTTTTATAATTAAAGTTTGTGACTCATCCATTTTCCTTTCTTCTCATTGATAGGTTCTTTTTATTGGGGGGGGGTCTGTACCTCATGTAGGGATAGGGAGCACCCCCCCTTTTTGGTACTGGGGAGTGAACTCAGGACCTTCTGCTCTTAGTTTTGAAAAAGACAGTTGAACAATGCCTAAAATTATTTTACCCCAAATACACCTAGCATTCTTTCCAGATTTATTGGGGGGGTCTGTACCTCATGTAGGGATAGGGAGCACCCCCCCTTTTTGGTACTGGGGAGTGAACTCAGGACCTTCTGCTCTTAGTTTTGAAAAAGACAGTTGAACAATGCCTAAAATTATTTTACCCCAAATACACCTAGCATTCTTTCCAGATCCTGTTATCTGCCATTTTAGAGGGGAAATGCTTTTTGCCATTGTTGAACAGATTCTGTGAACAAGCTTGGGATAGAACAATATGGGATGTTAAATGTCAACAGGAGGGGAGAAGGAAGCAGTCACCAACATCACTTTGTCTGTGTTTACTCCTTTCCAACTTTCTCCTGTCTATGCCTGATCTTTTGTCCTCTTAAAAGGTCTTCCTTTTAAGGAAAGTGGGCCGGGATGTAGCTCATAGGCACCATGCCTGCCTCAAAAGCACAAGGTCCTGAGTTCCATCCCTGGGACAAAACAAACAAACAAAAAACCAGAGAGAGAAAGTAAAGACTTTCCTTCTTTTAAAACCTCCTAGCATATGGCTTTTGACTCATCGAGAGGGAAACGGCCATTGGAGTCTCCCTACATTCTTTTTCCGCAAAGTCTCTCTTCCTATTTTCCATCTGTGTTGGAATCATGAGTTTCAAATCCTGACTTGGCCCCTTCCCAGCTGTGTGTTCTAGGACTCCCTCTTTTCCCCTCATTTCTTCAACTGAAGATGGAAATAATAATGCCTAACTGAGGGTGCTATATTATAGACAGTGTGCCTAGGACAGTGCTTGACAGAGAAAAACTTGCTATTTATCAGCTCCTTCCCTTTTATCCTAGAAGCTTTCTTTCCCTCACATCCAATCACTGGCTTGTTTTCGTGATGATCTTGATATGGAAAAACAACTCCCAACCTGTTAAATGCCTCATATACAGAGTTCATGGTCTCACAGCATTGAGAATGAAGTCAAAAACCAAAGGAGGAGGAAGTTAGGAGAGTTTTATTAGAATGGGAAGAGTAGCTCCTGGATTTTCAGGAGGGGTGGAGGGTGAGCGGTGGCCAAAGCTCTTTGACAGGGCTAAATTATACAGCAAAGACACAGTGTGAGTACAGTCAGACTACAATTAACCTGTAAGATCACAAGTGTAGGGCCGGGGATTTAGCTCAGTGTCGCCACCTGCCTAGCAAAATGCAAGGTCCTGAGTTCAATCCCTGGTACCAAAAAACAAAAACAAATATAAATGGTTCGCTGATGCTGATCCAACAGAGAAGCGAGTCACATAGCAGGGTTATTTAGAAAGAAGAAAGGCATTCCTGGAAGGGGAGAGGAGTATGGGTCCAGATGTTTTGGTTGCCCACCCATGTGTCCGATGACTACCTGAGCCCACTGGATCGGGTGGGGCCAATTACAGTATAATCTCAAACTTCACGCTATTTCTAGGGAGGCTTGCAGGCCTGGCTGTTGAAGCCTAGCTCTCTTTAGATCACCTCCAGTCACAATCCTGTTATGTTTATTTGTTTGCTCTGACTTGCATGAATGCACAAGCCCTCTCTGACTACGTATTAATTTCTATCTAATTTAGCTGTCTATATTAATTTAATTTCTTCATGCCACTCCACAATCCCAGGCTTTCAAAACGAGATACAGTAAAGTGGTCTGATTAAGAGTTTGAGCAAGGGCTCTCAACTTTCTTTTAATTAATTAATTTATTTATTGTACCAGGGATTGAACTCAGGTCCTTATGAGGCAGGCAGTAGAACCACTGAACTCAATCCCCAGCCCTCAACTTTCTTTCCTTATTACCCTGAACAAGTCCTAGTAGACATTATAGGAGTATAATTTCCATCTACTATGAAATCTTGATGGATTTTTTTTTTTTTTTTTTTTTTTTTTTTTTTT